TTGGTCCATTCTCATATCTATATTCTGTGTAATCTCTCTTTAGTTAATTACTTTGTCTTAAGTTACCTCTCACACTGACTCCTTATATATCAAGTGTTCATTTGTACTTCTTTATCAATCATCGGGTGTGCAACCCTTACCGCTTCTCTCCGGTATCATACTTGCATAATGTTTTGGAGTCATATCATATCTATAGGATCTGAATAGATGCAATCTCATTCCTTTCACCCTTTTGCCGCATTCCTCATTTACTATTCCATAGTTACCTCTTCATTTTGTCATTTTTTTCACATCTTCACTAACATCTTACTCGCCTTGCGGTAACCTTTCTATACCGGGGATAATTGAATTTATTACGCATAAGGGTGACACTTAGTGTAAGTGGCACACTTACTCCCTTAGGCTTAACTCTGCTCCACGTGCTTGCTTTGGGAAGCATCTTCCTGAATGAACCTTAAATGTTATTATTTTGTTGTCCATTCTATTATTGTCGGAATGTTATCTCTGAAATTCTCATGATATCAACCATTATAAAATCCTTCAGTCCCTAATTCATGTTCAGTTTATCTTGTTCACCAGCCCATACTGATTTTTATTACTCTGGGGTCTAACCTTTCCTCCTTGTAATCACGCTGAAGTCACCAACTCACTTCTCGAAATAAGGATATGACTTTATGGTTTATACTCTTTTATTGCCTCAAGGACTATCACCTCTTGTATTTTCCTTCACTTGACTATAGACTCTATCATCGTGTCATATTTTGATTTACTGTTATCACCCATATATCACATCTTACTCATAATGCTTCATTTACTCTCTTCTTATTCTCCGGATAATACTTTTTGTCTATCACTTTATTCTGAAAATTCCAACAAAAAGTTCTTTCCCTTTTTGCTCCCCTAGCTTCATCTTACTGGCTCTTTGGAATGCCTAACATTCTCCTATTTTGTTTTTACTTAGGGCTAGAGTCATACTAAGGTAAATATTTGTCCCTTTTAGGATCCCACTGCCTATCTTCTGAAATTTCTGAATATTCCAGTATTTATATTTGATTGTACTACTCTAGAGTTCACCATTTGGGTATCTCATAAGGAGATCTATTACCACATTTGCACCATCTTTCGGAAACATTAGTTAATGATAACAATCTATCCATAATCTTTGGGTTACTCAAACCGGAACTGAATCTTGATATCACATTCTTCTCTTAAACTATATTTGTTAGCTCCTATATGGCATAACTCAGATGGGTTTGGCCAATTGTATATATCTCCATAATATTGAAGGTAACACTAATACTTACATTTCTCTGCCTGAATTGTAAATACTGATAATCTTCATTAACTAGGTACCTCGTACCCTTCAGCATCTTACTTGTTTTACTTGGTGAAACTTGTGTCTACTTTCCGATTCTCTTATTCCTTTTTACCATACGAGTGGATAGATATTCTTGTCTTAGGGATCCTTATCAAGAGCTTTACACATCTAAATACACATATGATCTGCTGAAGACCTCATATTTAGTCATCATAAGCATGATGCAAAATCGAGTTCCTCTGACTCAACTCTTTCGCATCAAAATTCAACCTCTTACCAACTATCTTTCTGGATGTAAGTATCACTGTATTATGAATAAAACAAAATTTAGGAGTTTGAATTCTTATAACAGAGATCTAGCACACGATCTAGAACAAGAAGAAAGAGTGACAATCCTAAATGCCCTGTAGCCTCATGCTTATAAGTGTGGTGCACAACACACCTATAAACAAGACTCTACTAGACACGACTTGTAGACTTCCTAGGACAGAACCTGGCTCTGATACCACTTCTGTCACGACCCAAACCAATGGGCCGTGACGGGCACCCGATACCTTACTTAACCGAGTACCAACATAACGTATCTGTCATATCATAATATCATGGGCAAATAGCCTAGAAAGGTCGTCATGAGATAACAGAAATAAAATATAAGGGAATACTAAATATTGGACGACCTGACATGACATGAAAACTTATACATGTGACATACGTGCCTATAAAACCAAAGTGATAACTCATACACTGAACATAGGCCGATAAGGCCATATGATTTTCATATACATAACATATGTCTACAAGCCTCTAAGAGTACATAAAATCATAAAGGTCGAGACAGGGCCCCACCATGTCAATCAATATATATCTAAAGCATACTGACCAAATAGGCAACTCCGAAGCAAGTGGAGTGCACCAACACCTCCGCTGAGCTGATAGCCTACTAGGAGGAATGTCAACCTATCAATTGGGACCTGCAGGCATGAAACGCAGCGTCCCCAGGCAAAAGGGACGTCAGTACCAATAAAGTACCGAGTATGTAAAGCAAGAAAGCATAAACAAGAATAGTAATATAAAGAGAGATAGAGGAGATACAACCTGTAACATCTGCGTGCCTCTGTGGGCTGCTGACATGAAATGCGTAATACATATATATACATAAACTTTTAAAAATATACGCGTCTGTAGGCATCATCATCATCATCATCATCATCATCATATCGTACCCGGCCTCAAAGAGGACTCGGTAAAAACGTACCCGACCATCATAAGGCTCGGTAGAATCGTACCCGGCCACGTGGAGCTTGGTAAATCCAACTGATCAGTGGTTACACAATATATATCGTACCCGACCTACTATAGTGCGGCTCGGTAGAGTAAAATAGATATTATATATAATGCATGCTAAACTCATGGAATCACGTTCTAAACCTTTTGGAGTGACTTAAGGTCGTTACACCTTCGATTAACATTATGGACATCATACCATCAATATGAGCTTCTATAGGATTCAAGGATCATACATACTTGCTTAGAATAACTTTATAAGGAAAGAACAACATGTGCAACCTTAGTTTCTATGAGTAGATCTGTTACGAAATAGTGTATTCATTTCACTTTAGATCATGCCAAAAGAAAGAGGGAAGTGCCTTAACATACCTTAACCATGGTGAGTCCTTAATACATCTTAAGCAACTCTTCAAACAACTCAACTCAATCTACCATTGCATAAGGAGATTCAAAATTAGTGTTGAATAAAGGCTAAGTTTGCAACTTAAACTTGTAGCTCATTTATATAAATTCGGGCAGCATCTCCCCAGTAACAAGAGCCTCCTCCAATACCATATACCAACAACAATTACCAGAGAAATCCATCAATACCAATTATCAATAACAAGACACCATAAAACTACAACAAGTCATAACTATTTTACGACGAGCGACAAGCTCCAATTGGAATTCGTATATCCCTTATCATCCCTTATAGACTTTTTACTTTAAATTAATAGTATCATTAACATGATAATGAAGTCATTCATCAATAATTCCAACCTTATACCATATATCCATAACAAAGAAAATGATCCACAACTCCAATTATTCTTAATTAGCAACTTTATTCACTAGTTCATGTCTAGTTCATCCATTTAACTCAACCGATGTCAATATAACCTTAAGCACTTGTTGGAACACAATATAATTACCTCCTACAGTAGATGCAAGTCGAAATCTATATTATATTTAGCTTACAACAGCCCAACACACCCCAATCAATTCATACCAAAAACAACGACTATAGTAGTGTCCAACACCCCGAAAATATTACAAAGAATGACTAATCCATTATTTCACAAATATGTGGTATTTCTTCAAACCATTTATCCTCCAAAAACTCCATTAAATATCAGCAAAAGATACAGCCCAAAAGCTACACGAAATAGCCCACAAAACAGTCCATTACAAATCAAATAACTCGAACTCACGGCTTCCGATCACCTTCCCGTGAGTTCTAAATATTATGAAATGAATTAATCAACCTTACTTGATATTTAAGAGCTTAAAACCAGAAATTAAGAATTTTCTTAACTATTAAATACCTTCCAACACTCAAACTATAAAGAAAAAGAAAGGTTATATAGCAATACTTACGTCGTGGGGATCGTTCTTGTGTTATTGCTTCGTGATTTCGTGCCCGGGATGATGGTATTATTTGAAACCCTTGTATAGAGCTTAAGGGTGATGTTAGGGGTATTATTTGGTCGTGCTCTCTGGAAATATGCAGAAAGAGACGAGATAAAGGAGATAATCTCCATTTTGTTGAAAAGTCAAAAGGTGCTACTTGACACCCTATAATTGGCTCGTCTTCCAATACTTATAACTTTTTATCCGGGTGTCGTATGAGCAAACAGTTAAGAGCGTTGGAAACTACATTCCAAGACCTTTAATTTGATATATAATATGTCCCAAAAAGACCTCATATAGCACACGAAATTTATTACTCAAAAAGCTTCATTACAAGACAAATCCTTAGTCGGTTTTTTCGTAACTTAAATCCGATTATTCTCAAACTTTATACTCCATATACAAACATCATATATAGTTATATCATGGCTTTAAACTCATTTAAATCATGATTAACAAGTCTCATATTTATCTTAACTTGCATAACACTTCGGCAAACCTTTCTTGTCCTTGTAGAAGGATTTCATCCTTTTTGAGTTTGCATTAGATAATCCTATAATGATAGTAACATCTGAAGTACGGGGCGTAACAACATGTACCCTTGTAAATATTTATCCTTGAATATTAACTCTCAAAGGCTTGCAAGAAAAAAATGGGATGTAACACCATTAAATCACTTTATATACTTTCCAAGAGGATCTCATTTCTGAGCTTACATCAACGGACTTACGACGTACTTTCCCGTACAAAAATATGGGTTGTAACAAAGGCCAAGTTATTGATCGTACTAATCTAGCTTAGTCATACAAGCAGTAGTAGAATTATCTTTAGGTGGATGGGAGATACTACTCAACTGAGCTTCATGAAGAAAAAGAAGGGATCTGGTTTCAACAAAGGTGGGAGGAAGGATACGAGTAGAGATAGAAGTGCTCACAGACATATATTCAGGAGGTAGGCCAGAAAGTATTTGTAAAACGAGATCCAAATCAGAGACGAGATTACCAATGGATATATGTTAACGCATCAGCAATGGACTTGAAACGGTGAACATATTCATTTATTGAAAGATCACCTTTCCTAAGATTGTGAAACTGGACCTTGAGTTGAAGAGTTCGGAAACTGACTTGGTCACGAAATGGACGCTTAATTTGAAGCCAAGCATCCCTAGCAGTGAGAGTATGGTGTGGCGGCTTGATTATAGCCTGGAGAATCTCTTGAGAAATTGTTGCCTGAATCCGTGAAAGAACAAAAAAGTCCAGTTGAACCCATTATCTGAAAGCGGGATTAGACACAGATGTGTCATCATCACAAGAAATAGAAGGCTCGGGACAAGGGATACTTCCATCAATGAAGCCATAGATACCATGACCCTTGAAAACAGGCAAGAAAAATTCTCTCCATAATATATAATTTATGTAATCAAGAACCGTGGCAATAAGATTCTTAATGTTCGAGATAAAAATAACATAATGAGATGATGGGAGAAGGGAAGAAGCCTTTACCATGGAGGTAGGTGGAGAAGGTGTTGATTCCGTAGGGGAAGAGGAAACCATAATTTGATGAAAGAGAGGAATAATCAATATAGAGATGACCTAGACTTCTGATATCATGTGACAATGTGTATTTCACAACAATCTGTATCGTAGTACACGGAGAGATATTTATAGTATTTTACATGTACATAAAAATGACTAAACTATCCTTAAATACAATATCTACTAGTAAGAACCATATAATTCATAGAAAGAATTTGACCATGATTTCTAAAGGGAAATTGTAGCCTTTGAAATTCATTTTCCAACAGTTTGAATGATTTGTCCTTGAACTTTTCTTTGCAAAACTAAAAGTTATGATATTTTTACTCAAAGTGAGCACTATAGAAAGATGAGAGTTCACGCATTTTAATTTTAATCGTATTCAAAAGATATTTTACAGAACTATTGTAAGTTTCTATCCTTTGCAAGATAACAAAACTTATTCTTCATTTATTTTTGAGAATTGGTAATTGTATTAATAAAATTAAATTTTCATTTTATTTATAAAACTCATGATCCAATGAAACAACAAATAAAATTTAAAAAAAAATTAGTAACGTACAATAGTATTGTTCAAATGAAACTGTTCTTATTAATTTTACTGAATTTCACATATCTATTACTTTAACATGTATTATAGATGGCCATAATTTGTAAACTCTTATTTATTTTAAATTTTTGATAATCTAGACGTTAAGAATTTATAAATGTTTTTATGCATAGGTTTAATTTTTTTCTCTTTCTAATTTATAATAGGGATTTTTACCTATTTATACTACATTATAAACTTATTTACCCCTCATAGAGAGGTTATTACTTAATTACATTAGCATATACAATTTACCATTTATATACAAATAACATATTAGATTCCAATCTTATCCATTTTAGGTTTTATTCTTCTCTATTTTTCTTCTCTTTATAGATATTTCTCTCTCGTTCCTCTTCGCATCGGCTTTTGCAGATGAACATACTCGAGCTTTGAAAAATGGTGAAAAAAAATAATTCAACTCGTTAAAAGCCATTGAATATGTACCAATACAAAGGGGTTACCAAATTTTTTTTAGATGAATAAACAAGAAATTGCCGACAAGAGTGGTGTTTGAAACTAAACTGAAATTAATTGATAGTGTAATTGAAACTAAATTGAAGTTGGTTGTGTATCATGAGCTTAAACTCCATTGATAGCCATTGCCCATTAGAAAACTTAGAAGCTTTAAATCTAGTGAGTTACAGACAGAGTTCGAAAAAGTCAAATCTTTGATGATTACATCATCTATAATTGAGTTGCGAAAACTTCTGGATAGGTATTCTATATCTTAACCGAATTCTTTATGGTTAAAGAATCTCTTTCTAGTTGCTCTGGAACAATTAGGAGATTCTCTAGAAGAAATACAGGGTTCTGCTTCTTGCGGCAACACTTGGTCCCGCTTATGGGGTCAAATCAATACGTTCTAAGAAGAAAGATTGGAATATCAATCTCATCGAGATAATCGATCTCATACCAAATCCCATCAATCGAATCAGTTTTTCGAGAAATAATCGAAAATCAAAATTTGCAAAATTATTTTTTGTTTGGATGATTTGCAAAATTATTTTTTTGTTTGGATTGTTGTTGCAAATGATCGAGAATATCTTTTGAAGTTTATATCTCAATTTTGAGAGAATTTGGTGAATATTCGAGGTGGTTTTGGTTGGAATTATAGATTGAACTTCGAAAAAAAAGACATAAACAAATTGTATATATTTTGTATATCAAGTGTAAAAATAGTATACAAAATATCTACAACTTACAAGGTTGTATACAAGTTGTATATAAATTGTATGTAAATTGTAGGTTTTGACCGAATTATATACAAAAAGATTATATTTTTGTGGTAGATAAACTGTAGATTTTGATAGAATTTGTATAATTTTTTGTAAAATCCGTTAGTTATTTTCTGCAAATATAAAAACTTAGACAAACCGGGTAAATAAGTTTAAGTCTTGTATATATGCGAAAATTCTAAACCTTTGGGAGTACTTGTCAATTATCCAATGTTTCAGTTTAGAGGTGTTAGACGGTAACATTTGTTTAAAAAAACTAAGTGAAACAAAATCAAATACTAGAAAATAAACAGTTCAGGGACTACATGACGAAATTGATACAAGTTTAGAAACGTCGATTCTCTAGTGTCTTTGCTCATTCTTAAGTAAACTAATTAGAGCCTTTCTGTTTGTACCTCACTCCCTGAGATATTTTCTCAAATTAATCAAAATAGTAATACAGATTTTAGTACTATATTTCAATGATAAAGAGGGTTGATTAATTGCATAAAGTTCGCAAAGTTAATTTGTAATGTTTTCTATATAGTGCTGCAGTCTATTTAAACCTTGTATAATGTTTTGATTTCAGAAACATAATCGAATCAATTAGTGGTTCATTTTATTTCTAAAATTCATTAAAGTAGTGATTGTAAACTTTACCCAAACCTTTTGAAGTGCGGGGATACAGTTCTATTAAGGTTTCAATCTTTTACGTTCCCCTCCCTCACTCGGTCAATTTTTTTTTAAATAACACCAAGGCAAGAAGAAAAAAGAAAAGAAGAGAGAAATACTTAGTTGAGAGAAGAGTAAAGGATAGACAACTCAGATGGCGGAAGGTGCTATTTCAGTGTCATAGAAAATAAATTACCCACAAAAAACATAAGAAAAATGGTGAAACTTATAGTAGGTCTACATGACTATAAAAACATTTAATCTATGTCGAAATCAAATGCTATGACTTGACCAGCCAATGAAACTGCCGTCAAATATTACTTGAGGTCTGCCTCATTTTACATGCTAATTAACATGCACCTTCTTATACTATAGCACCAAACAATCTAGACGAACTTCTTTTCTTTACCGTTAAGATAAACTTCATATGCTAATGTTTATTTTTCTACTCCTCGTTTTTAGCTTGAGTGTGGTGGATTTTGAATTTAGCCTCTACGTTAGTCAAAGCTTTAAAAATGTCTACATCTGAATTTTGCTTAAAAGCTTTGTAGTACAGCCCATTGAAATCCTTTTCTACCTAATCTCTGTTACAACTTCCTTTCCCTCTGAACAAATTGTCTCTACCATTTCACTTATATAAATATGCCTCTTAATTCCTTTTCTCATCATCCATTCACACAGTTGTTGTTTGAGACTTTCTAGCTAAGAAAAATGGCAAAGCAGACAAGTTTCTGTCCAGTCCTAGGCTTCCTCGTCATTGGATTTCTTTGTTTCATTTGTCTACCTGCTGAGGCTGCCCTCAAGAAATATCAGTTTGATGTTTGTGCCTCCAATTTTCAAAAAAATATGCTTTTGTTTAGTGTTTGGTTCGTAGCTAATGTTTTGTTTTATACCCTCATTTTTTCATCATGGCCAACTTTCTGTCTTTTACAGGTTCAAGTGGCAAATGTGAGCAGATTATGCCATGCAAAACCAATTGTTACAGTTAATGGGAGATTTCCGGGGCCAACTATATATGCTAGAGAAGGAGATAGAGTGCAAATCAATGTTACTAACTATGCACAATATAACTTGTCCATCCACTGGTAAGAAACATTAAATTCACATGGCAAAACTCTTTCAAGTCTCAGAATTTCAGATAATCAGTGTTCTTATTCTGATTCTTGCAGGCATGGATTGAAACAATATCGCAATGGTTGGGCAGACGGGCCAGCCTACATAACACAGTGCCCTATTCAGACAGGAAATAGCCATGTTTATGACTTCAATATAACAGGACAAAGAGGAACCTTATGGTGGCATGCACACATTCTTTGGCTAAGGNTACATAACTCAGTGCCCTATTCAGACAGGAAATAGCCATGTTTATGACTTCAATATAACAGGACAAAGAGGAACCTTATGGTGGCATGCACACATTCTTTGGCTAAGGGCAACAGTCTATGGTGCTATAGTTATCATGCCACAACAAGGAACTCCCTTCCCTTTCCCTCAACCAGATAGGGAAGAAGTACTTGTACTAGGTGAGTGTGGCATTCATTAATATATATAGAATTCGACCCCGAAATTTGTTGAACTTCTTTTATGGCAAAGCATGAATAAAACACGACGTTGCTTCATTTGATCATGCTGCAGGAGAATGGTGGAATGCTGATGTTGAAGAAGTCGAGAAACAAGGAAACGCCTTGGGCATACCTCCTAATATGTCTGATGCCCATACAATCAACGGAAAGCCAGGGCCTCTTTTCCCATGTTCTGAGAAACGTAAGATTGACATTGACTGGAGTATTTCAACCTTGTATATGAGGAAAAATATGGTTGTTAAGAGTGTTCAACTCCAACATCATTTAATATTTGCATATCTTTTTCAGATACTTTTGCCATGGAAGTTGAAAAAGGGAAGACATACCTGTTGAGAATCGTCAATGCTGCTCTCAATGATGAGCTTTTTTTTGCGCTGGCTAATCATACCTTCACGGTGGTGGAAATTGATGCAGTGTACACGAAACCATTCAGCACAGAGGCCATTCTGATTGCGCCAGGCCAGACAACAAACGTTCTGGTTCGTGCCAACCAAGTTCCAGGAAGATACTTCATGGCTGCAAGAGCATTTATGGATGCTCCAATCTCTGTGGATAACAAGACTGCTACTGCTATATTCCAGTACAAGGGAATCCCACAAACTCTACTGCCAAAACTTCCAACCTTGCCGGAACAAAATGACACAAACTTTGCTTTGACCTATAACTCTAAACTCAGAAGCCTAAATACCCCTAAATATCCAGCAAATGTTCCCCTAAATGTTGATCGACACCTCTTGCTTACAGTAGGCCTAGGAATAAATCCTTGTCCCACCTGTCTAAATGGAACTCGGTTTACAGCTTCTCTCAACAACATTACCTTTAGCATGCCACAAACTGCACTTCTTCAAGCTCATTACTTCAACATTAAGGGTGTGTACACTCCAGATTTCCCAGACAAACCACCTACTCCATTCAATTTTACAGGGGCACCTCTTACAGCCAACCTACGGACAAATCTAGGCACAAGGCTTAGTAAAATTGCTTTCAATTCCACAGTTGAAATAGTAATTCAGGACACCAACTTGTTATCAGTGGAATCACATCCTTTCCATCTCCACGGCTACAATTTCTTTGTGGTTGGAACTGGCGTCGGAAACTTTGATCCCAAAAAGGATCCAGCAAAATATAACTTGGTTGATCCTGTAGAAAGAAATACTGTAGGTGTTCCAACGGGTGGTTGGACTGCTATTCGGTTCAGAGCTGATAATCCAGGTACCTAGTTTACAACCAACTTTAGTTAATGAACTTTTTCTATATATTGTTTCTCATTTATTCTTAACATATCCAATTTTTTGTGAAGGGGTCTGGTTTTTCCACTGTCATCTGGAGTTGCACACAGGATGGGGACTTAAAACAGCATTTTTAGTGGAAAATGGACCAGGATCAGATCATAATATTCTGCCTCCACCCAAGGATCTTCCACGCTGCTAATTCACCAGGCCTTCGTTCTTATCTATACAGATGGATATCTTGTGCATCTTTACAAATTTTGCTTCATGTTCCATATGGAGGCAAAAGGCTTCAAGGATCATACACATCTAAGAAAGGAGTTTCTATCAAGAAAATTAAAGAGATTCGTTTGGATTTGTTTGTAGTTTGAGTTGTAATAAAGGTCCACAAGATTTTGGACTGTTGTTTTTATGAAATTCCCTGATTCATTTAATATCTATTAGTTGCATTGAAATACATATGTCGATACTTGCTTTTGACTTGATAAATTTATCAACTATAGCAAACATGAATTAATCTAATTAAGCACCTGGATGTCCTAAAATATTTCAATCATCCATATAAGATAATGCCAAGATGCCCCCATAAAACCAAGAAAACACTTTAAAGTAACTGTCTATACTTCAGGAAAACCAACATCCTAGCTATTTTGTTAAAAAACAGCAGAAGAAAAAGACATTTTAATTTCCTAAGGTGGTGCTTGATGGGTTTGGGGTTTGATTTATGTTTGGTTTTGGGAGAATTAGTTTTGACTTTGGCTTTTGAAAAAATTTGCATATTACGCCACCTATTGCGTCTGAAAATATCACTAAACCTAAATTGATTAATATGGGTGGAAAAGATATATTAAAGCTAACTAGCCTGAATTATTTTTAAAAAAATAGTTTTAAAAAAGAAATGGTCAAAATGCAAATGGCAAAAAGTTGCAACAGTTGATATACATGCAATGATGAAGAAAAGGAGACATTAAGCTTGTAAAGAATGAACTAGGAGGTCAAGAGCAATTTGTAACGTGCCAAACTCAAAATGGTTCATAATTCGCATAAAATGCTAATCAAGATGAACCTATCATGATCAAGACAATAGGCCCTAATCATTCATGTGACAACCAAGCTGGGCAGTAAAAGAATTTCAAGCTCATGTGAAAAGAACTCGCAAGTGGACACTTCGTAGATAACAATCTTACAGGGCAAAGGGGAAGGCACTAGACGTAATTACAGGAACCAAAGAAGAACAAGTTAATATGTTGCGGGACCATTGTGCAGAGCTATGAAGGAGTAATCCAAGGACTACATGTATTTTGAAGCTGGATGATGGATGATTATCCAAGAACAATTGTCAGAGGCAAGAAAAGATTTTTTACGCTCTACGTTTGCTATGCAGCTTGTAAACAAGGGTTAGTAGCTGGATGTAGACCAATTATAGGGATTGATGGGTGCTATTTGAAAGGACATCAAATGCTTGTAGATCCATTTTTTGATGAGGGCTTTGAAGTCAATAATACTAGTGATGTTTAAATGCTTTAAATGTTTCCATTTTAAAGTTACGTACAGCTTAATGCTTTTAGATTCTTATTGTATCATAGTTTATCGGTAAGCAGAAAGCACTTTTGCAGTAAGAGAAATATGAAATATAAATGCATGATCAGCAGATGTTAGTAGAGAATGCAAACCTTAGTCCTGAGCTTTCATGCTAGACTAAGTTGAAGCAAACACTTTGACAACTGCCTCCTCTGTCAGCAGTGTTAAGAATTAATCTTGCTCGCGTGTTGGTATCATAGGAGAAGTTTTTCTATCAGCGGAGAGGCTCCATTGATGTTGACTATTACACCTATCGATAAATCATTTCTTTATCAACATACAATAACATGTTCTTGTCGAAAGTACTCATAGAATTCAATCAAAGTTCTTTTCTTTCTTTCTTGAAACAATGATATTTAGATATATTTTTCAATACACCACATAAAAGTTCAATTTTACGAGATTATACGAATTAGCAGAAGCATTTAAGCGATCAACTAATCAAATAAGACGTGAAGTCGTGAAGCGAGCACTCCAAAATAGAGCATTTGGTCACTTTCTTGGTGAAAGCTATGCTTGCTAAACTTCAAATATTAATGAGGTATTCATACCTTTTCTATACTTAACCAATTCATCAGAACTATTACAGCAAATGTAAAGAACAAGATGAAATTTCTACATCTGATGTCCTAAAGTTTGCGAATTATATGATTTTTGCTACTGAGATTAGTAATGTGGAAGTGGCCAAAAGGTGCAGCAGAAAAAGAGAAAGAATGGGTTGCAACATAAATCATTCTCATTTAAAACCCACCTGTAATTGCGAAAAATCGAAAGAGACATCGACAAGTATCCAAAATATGGGAGCAAAATACCTAGAATCGTGAGTAACCTCCATGAAATATGCAAAAACAAAATCATGTAGGTTTGATCAAATTTAGGCCAGATAAGCTTGCACTTATAAAGAGAAAGAGAGAAATTGGGAAGTAGTGCATTCTTGTACGTTTTCATCAAATGTAGCTCAGATGAGCTTGTGTTCTGAGAGAAAGGGAAAGTGTACTTCATTCTAGAAGAGAATTTACAATTAGCAGAAAAGGACATATGTTAATTTCCTAGGTGGCGTTTGATCGTATTTATGTTTGGTTTTCGGAGAATTTGTTTTGGCAACGCTGAGAAAACTTTGCATGTTTTGGATTTGGTTTCACAAAAAATGTTTTGTGAAACTTTTATGTTTGAAAATATCACTAAACCCGAAACGCGTTAGTATGGGTGAAAAAGTTACTACAATCAAATCTATAAAGCACCCTCGTATAACAGTCATTTACGGTAAAAGTTAAGTTTTTCTCGAAATCATTTATTATGTTACATGTATGTTATAATATATGTTCTATATAACAGCACTTTACTATAGCCGTAAAAAATCTTGGAACAAACAAGATTGTTATAGAGATGGTTTACTGTTACTTTTATGATGACCCGATGGATCGTTTTGAGTTCTAGCCTTAATTTTCATGATTCGAGACCTCCCGTAACTTCATTTGATATTTCTTGATTTGCATGTGTGGTCCGTGTTGCTTTTCGTAAAGCTTTTATCTGAAATTTTGAAGAAAATAAAAAATTTGACTAAAAATTATACAGAGTTGATCATGGTCAATATTTTGGGTAAACGACTCCGGATCGGTATTTTGACAATTCTGGTGGGTTCCTATTGTGATTTTGGACTTGGTCGCATACCCGAAATTGAATTCGAATGTCCCTATGTTGGTTTGACTTGTATTGCCGAAAGTTAGCAATTTGAAAGTTTGAAATTTTCTTAGGTTTGAACGTAGGTTGACTTTATAGTTACCGGGTTCGAATTTTGATTTCGAGACTTGGAATATGCCCGTTTTGCTATTTGAAACTTGTCTGCAAAATTTGGTGCAATTCAGAATTGGTTTGATAGGATTTGGACACGCGGTTTGTGATTCTAGAGATTCTTGAGTTTTCTTTTAAATTTCATGAGTTTTGATGTCCGATTCGTGGTTTCTAGATGTTATTTTGATATTTTGATCGTGCGAACGAGTTTATATGATGTTATTATACTTATGTGCATATTTGGTTTGGAGCCCAAGGGACTCGGGTGAGTTTCGGAGGTGCTACATATGAGTTTGGGCTAGTTGAAGATTGTTGGTGTGCTCTAGTTCTGGTGATGGGCTGTAGGTTTCGCATTTGTGATGATCTGTTCGCAAATGCAAACTCCGTTTTTGTGAAGTTGAGCTTGCAATTCCGACGGGTACTGGGCAGGGTAGTCTTCGCATTTGCAAGAAAATATTCGCAATTGTTGACATCCCAGACTTCACTTTTGCGATGGGGCTTAGGCAGGTTCGCAAATGCGAACCTTTGATCGTATTTGCGGTTGGATGGGATATCGCAAATGCGATAGTTTTGTCGCAATTGTGACTTATGCAGGTTGGGGAACAGTTCGCATTTGCGACCTATGTTTTGCAACTGCGACATCCACAACTGGGTAAAAGAGGAAAAAATCGGGACTTAGCTCATTTTAAACCATTTCTCAACCCTAAATACTCTAGAGACAATTTTTCAAGAGTTTCTTTTTCCCACAATTATTGGTGAGCAACTTTAACGAATTTTCTTTTAATTACCCACTACTTTTCATGTGTCTTTAACATCAAATCTAGAATTCCAATGGTAGAAATTAGGGATTTGGGGGGGGAATTAGAAATTTTGTAAAATTGAGATTTAGACTTCAAATTGAGACAAATTTAAACAAATCACATAACCAGGTTCGGGAGCTGAATGGGTAATCGGATTGTGGTCCGAATCTTGAGTTTTGACCAAGTGGAGCCCGGGTTAACTTTTTCAAATTCATCAAAGATTGAACCTTTTTCCTTTGTGAGTAGTTTCTAAAGCTTATTTTGAATTGTTTGATCGATAATTGGTTGGTTTGGAGGCTTATTCAAAAGGCAAGTTGTGGTTGGTTAATTGACTTGATTGCAGCGTGAAGTAAATATCGTGGTTAACTTTGACTTGAAAGAATTATGACTTGTTTGGCCTATTTGCTACGTGATTTATGTGTGAGAACGACGTATATATAAGGTGACGAGTATATACGCGTTGTCATTAGGGTTAATGCATGTGGGTGGAAATTGATTAATTGATGCTTTCCCTGCTTCAATTTGAAAATTATCTCATTAATTATACGATTTTGTGATCATCGTTTATTTTTAAGTTGCTTATCATAACAGTATGATTGAAGTGAAATTTATTCCTGCATTGATACCTTGGTTTATTATTGTTGCTTTATGAGGAAGAGTGAAAAACACGAAACGTTGCCGTGCCTTATTTGCATATGCTATCATTTATTTGAGAGATTGTGAGGATTAAAGCACGAAGGGTGATGCTATGCACTGGATTTCTTATTATCATTTATCCTACTATGTGAGGAAGAGAGTAAGCCATTTCATTTATCATATCATCATTATATGGTGAGGTTGAGAATAAAAGCACGAAAGGTGATTCCGTGCCATTGATGATTCCATCGCTTTATTTGATTTCTGGATTTTGTGATTTGTGGGTTGCATTGTTGTTTATCTTGGAAGAAGTTTATTTGGTGACTTTGTGCTTGCTATTCTTATCGTACTTTCCTTTTCTACATGTTCCATTCTCGTTATTTTGTTAAAACCTTATCTGTTATTTATGTTGCTTCATGTATGTATCTGTTCAAGATCTCAGTAGGCGTCTTGTCATAGCCTTGTCATTACTTCGTCGGGATTAGGCTTGACATTTATGAAGTACATTAGGTCGGTTGTACTGCTACACTTCTGCACTTCTTGTGCAGATACTGATGTTGGTCCCAGCGATGTCTAGTGGTGCTTCTGCTCGGATCATTTCTACAGCGAAGACTTAAGGTAGAGTTGTTGGCGTTCGCAGTTCCTGAAGTCTCATTCCATTCCTGTCTTTACTGTTTATTTCATTTCAAATAATTGTATTTCATTTAAACCATACTTGTAGTATTCCAATTGCTCATATACTAGTGACTCCAAATTTTTGGGATTAGACTAGAACGTGCTATATGTCATGGGCTGCTTTCCAGACATGCCCCATGACCCCTTGGTCGCGCCCCATGGCGGCCTA